AAGATATCAACAACTGGTCCTAGAGGTGATTAACCAGTTTTTTTCCGATTGATGATTCTTAGCCTGTAAAGAGGGAATTGATGTTGTAGACCCATCATCTAATAATCACAGGCTTAATTCTGCATTTTTCAAGAAGTAAGGATCTAAATATTCACCTGGTCATTTTTTGCATTATTTTTGTGCTGGACTGCTGAAAGTTCATTCCTGAGCCATCACTTTTAGTTGGATTTTCATGACCTTGGTGCACAGAGCAGATTTACATGAGACTTGCCCTATGCATTCCATTGCTTATCAAATAAAACAATATCAAGTACAGAGCTGACTTCTTGATACTTCTTGATACTTCATTGTCTTTTGATCTATCTTCTTCCAGCCACTACATGACAAAGCAGGGGGTTAAAATAGTTCTTGGCTAAATGCCCCAAGTGTGTTTATAGAATTCTATTCTGCTTGATTTATTTTGCTTGAGAACTTTTAAAAAGAAGTAATCCTACAGTCCATACGATAGCACCCACCCTATATTTGTAAAACAGTCACTATTTAGAAGAGTTAACTGAAATTTAGGTATTGTATACGAAGGGAGAAAACAGGCTATATTTTGGTATTCCTGTCACCAGTTTGAACTTACCTTTTCAAGCTTTGATTTTTGAACTCTTCCCTTTTTCCTCTGGCTTTCTTTTCAGATTGTTTCTCTATAACCTTTCTTACATCACTTCTTTCTACTTTTACTGTAGCCATATCCAAGTGGGATTTATGGCTTTCATGGTCATTTTTCCTCCTAAAGACCTCTGGGTTTTTTTCCCTAGCTCTTGCACCTGCTTGGTTTCTAGTTGTTAAACAAATATCACGTAGAAAATTCTAATTTCCCTCTTGTTCACAAATGAATACAAAATGTTAACCTGACAGGCCATCTTGTTTAAGAAAACCTTGCATGAAAAGGTCATTAAAAAACCATATCTTGATGACATAATTGGAACAAGGTTTGCTTCTACTGTACCACCTTGAGTTCCTTAAGGTCAAAAAACATTAAGGGATATAAAACACTGCTTTTTTTGTTGTTGCCTTTTTCCCAACCTGGAAATGAAACCCAAGATAATTTTAGTGAGGAGGTAAAATGAAAGGAGATCTTTATTTGAAGGCCTTCAGTGGCAGCTATGGAAAGATGTCCACAAAAGACCACACTCCCAGCCAGGGTGAGTACATTTTATAGGTTTTAGGAAATTAGCATAATTGATGAAAAGCACCAATGAGGAGGACAAGTGGTGATGCCATTCCCCCCAGGTCAAGCCTCTTCTCTGGAGCCCCCCTTCAGCACTAGCTGTGCTTTGTCCATGAGAATGTATCTCAAAGGGTTGTTCTCAGCTTTGGCTCCCTGAAGAACCAAGATAGCACGGAGCCTTGTACCTCCTGGAACTTGGAGCTCTGGAATTTATTTTATCTTTCTGCTTAGGGAAAGGCCATGGAAAATTACTGGGAAAACTAGCTACTAATACAATAGGGGAAAGAATTACAAATACACATGTGAAAAAGGTAGAGAACATAGAAAGCCAGAAAGAAAAAAAGGCAAAACCCAAATGGCATCAGTACAGCAGGTTACTGATTGTGAGGTGACAGTGATCAGCACTTTTCCGACGCCCTAGGATATGAAGGGCCCCAGATCGAGCAATATGCAGAATATATATTCAGATTTGTTAAATAAAAGCAGCATATTGAGATGGCCCGTGGATTCAAATGCCTCATCTCCCTGAAGGTACTTTCCCTGCTTCTGCTCACTGCTGTCAAATACTGCCTTTTGAGACACTTCTGTTCTAGAACATACGAAACAGGACACCTGGACTTTACAATGCATTGCTTAGAAAACCAGGGAGTGAGAAATGGCAACAGTGATTTTGAAGTGAGAGATATAATTATTTGGTAAATGGTATTAATATAAAAAGCTCTTTCAAATCAATTTCTGAAATTACATCTTCAGTTTGCAACAGGATATTTCTACAGGATATACTATTTTGTAACTAGTAAAAGTCACTCAGCAGGGGTTCTCCTGTACTGATGGGCCTCCAGTCTGCAGCATTAAGGCACAGAAACTTACTTGGAATATAGCAAAGCAATCTGTTGAGAAGCCAATTTAGTTTTGTGGTGTTCCTTTGTAAGTCCCAAATGGTCCTTTTTTCTTAGGTACGTCAAGAAGGATGGATAATTTAACATACATTTGTCTTTGTGGAAAGTAATCCACAGTTTGTAGCTGATTTGTAGCTGATTTAGTCCCCACAAACCAAATTATAAATATAGCTTCCAATTTCTGAAATAGTTTTGTGGACTATATTCTTTGATTTAGAAATTGAATTAGTTGATTTTTATGTTAAAAATGTTTGTCCTTCCTTCATGATCATCATGTGATTGTTCTTTGAGCAACAGAGTAATAACAAAAGTATTCCTTCTTATTGGCAGGATGGGTTGAGAGTATGCAAGGTAAAACAAACATTTAATTTATAAAATAAACCTTCTAGTATAATAAAACTAATTGTTAACACTTTTAATGATTCTAACATGCAAATTCTGTGTTTTTGCATTTCTGTTGCTTTTCCTTCCCCCTAACAAATAGACAAGTGAAATGTAAATTGCAAGGAAGACAACAAAGGTTCTTGTACTTAGTTGAGATATAAATATTCAAAATATCACACAGAAAGGAAATCTTAACAGTTATCAAACAAACCTAACTGGACATTTTATAAGACAAATTTTTTGTAATTGCATCTAAAACTATTCAAAAAGGCTTGACTGTTTCTGGGGTTTAGAAGATCCTGCATTATTTCATTTTTTTTAATAACTATGCAGCAAATAACTTTTTGTCTATCAATCTCTCACTTAAACATTATGTATGCAGTGCATGTAAATTCATTGTTAAATAATTTTAAAGTCTGAGACATATTATCCTTTAAAACTTTGTCTGACCAATAACATCCTTCATTCTTAACCCAAAAATAAACCAACCAACCAACCAACCAACCAAACAAGGATAAAACTCCACTTCCATACCATATAGCATAGTTCCCTCATTTTCACGCAGTCCCTAAAACTATTTTTGTCTGTTCTTAAAATCAATCAACACTGTGTTATTTTAAGTGAGGTTGCATGCTTCTAACAAAAATATAACAACACACCAAAAAAAAAAAAAAAACCCAAACAAAAAAAAAAAAAAAAAACAAACAAAAAAAACCCCACAAAACCAAAACCAGAACAACCCAAAAAAAGCAAAACCAAGCAAACAAAAAACCCCAAGCAATGATAAATAATAATTGGTTCATACCACTTCAATACTTCAAAATTTACTAAAAAAATAAAGTCTGTTAAATATTTTTAAAATGTTGAAATTAGTGTTGAGATACATATGACTGTATAATAAAATATTATTTTAAAAGGTATTAAAGTCCTCTGACACTTTCTTATGAGTTTTGAATGCACTGTTAGTTGATTATCGAGAACCCAGGATTTGAATTTTGGTATAACAAATGGTAGATGAAGGAATTAATATTTTGAAAAAATGGTTAGGTAAAGACAAAGGGGGAAGGGACATGTAATTTTCTCTGCAAAGAGAAATGTGAGCCTGCTGATCACTCTGAAACAAGTTTGATGTAGCATATATACAGTTCCATTTGAAGTACAAACTGCATAGCAGTAAACTCAAGTTTTAGATCTTTATGGATATAAGCTACACAGGTTTGTAATGGTGTTAACAAACAGCACTGATAAAGGGTTCCCTGTAACTATGCTTAAGTGTCTTAGTTTTCTGGCTTATTCAAAATAATCATTATTCTCTTGGATAACTATTTGTTAGGAAAAATGCATGTATTATTTATACATTTATATGAATTTAAAATCCTGAAGAAGCTGCATAAGACAAGGTACCCATGCCTGATACTGCCAACTGGCACCCTCAGTGTCAGAACACTTCCAGTTTTATGTTATTGAAACCACTTTGCAGGAGCATATGATACTGTCTTGTCAAAACAAAGAAAATATAAGAAATCTGCTGCCGTAGACCATAACAATAGGCATCACAGACAAGCTATACTTAACCTATAGCAAAGGCTGTATTTAATAATAGGAATCAAAGAAAACAGTGGGTAGTGAGCAGTTTGCTGCTTCCACATAATATAGAAGAAGAACACATTACTTAAATACATAAATAAAAGATTATTTTCAGGAAGCATTTCAGCAGAATGCTAAAGGATGTGCTTTAATACACTTGCCAAGAATGACCTCTTTTTCACAAAATTTGTTAATTTGCTAAGAAAATAGTAGTAGAGGAAACATGATTTTGAGAAAGAAATCCCAATGCCAATCAAAAAACTAGTTGTAGATGTTGATTAAACTGTTAAAGGCAGAATTAAATTGAATTATAGCTCTCACTATCTACAGATGGTGGTTATGTGCAACATCAATTTACCTGTCATAATGGTTTAGTGTGCTGGTCCATAATTTTTCAAAAAAATTACTCTTTAGATTTTATGATGTTGTGAGGCACCCCAAGAAGCCACAAGGACCTCTTCCACCCTCACATGGATGCTCCGTGCCTGGAAATGTTCAAGGCCAGGGTGGATGCAGCTCTGAGCAACCTGGTCCAGTGACAGGTGTTCTTGTCCACAGCAGAGTTGTTGGAACAAATACACCTTTAGGGTCCTTCCAAGGCAGGCCATTCTATAACTCTGTGATGATCAGCAGAAATTCCATTGGCCTGGGAGGCTGATGGATAACTGAGATTTGAAAAGGCATGACAGTACAAAAGAAAGTACCTCTTGCATATGTTTTTCTTTTCAAGGTGTTCAGGAAATAAAGTTTTTATTTAAGAAGGACATATGGTTAGTTTCAGACTGGAGCTTAAGTAGTTGATAGATATTTGAAACTGCTTGCTAAATATTCTGTAATGGTCAAACAAGTGAAATACCCAAATTATTTTTTCCAAAAAGCTTTATAAAGTAAGACAGAAAGCAACATTATACCTTTGTATTAATTAGTAGGATGATTTCTGAATATGGGTGCAGTTGCGTTAGCACTTCCTTGTCCTGTCCTGCTAAAGAAAACAGAGCTGGTAAATGCAAATCTGCCACTCCAAAACTCATTGAGAGAGATTTAGATGAATAGTTATAATTATTGGTTTGTAATGTAGAGAACATATTGTTATTCTGAGGTGATATTTAATAAAATCATATCCAAATTTTTGAAAGAAGGAAAGGGTCAAGGACACTATATTGCAAAACCTGGAAAATCTTATGAATTTCTTGAAATTAATTTTAAAAATACACAAATTAATGTAAATTAAGTTTTACAATATAATGCTGGACCTGGAACCTATAAAACTTTTCAACAGAAATCAGACACAGCTATATTTATATTCAGCTTAAAGCAAGGAAAAAGTCAGAGATATTGCATTAATCAGATATAGTAATCTGTGTTTACATAAATCTGTAAACTGGTACAAAGTAGGAGAAGTGCACTAATAGCTTAGCACTCTTTGCTAACTTTTTCTGGTAAGAAGTTAATTTTTCATTTATTTCTTCATTTATAAAAAAAAAGGTATTTGTTGCTAACTAATATAAATACAATTTTTTTTAATTTAATTTCTATAACCTCCAGAAATATATAATATTCTATATATGATATCTAAAATACATATTATTTATAGCAAACAAAAACATGCATGATTTTAAAGAGGTATCTAAAAATATTTTAGGGAATGGTCCTTTAGTGCATGTATTACAAATATATAAGATGTTAAAACCTTGAAAATTAAGCCAGGTTTTTTAGTGCTGATTTTGGTGTGCCAAATAGAAAAGAAGGATTTTTTCTTTTGAATAATCTTACAAGTACTTGTGCAGCCAGTTGTTCATCATATTTTCATCTGATGATGCATTTCACAATATCTTGGCTATAATAATATTCAGGTCATGCCAAAAAAGGAAGCAAGTTAATTCTAAATTTGGACAGGAAAAAAAGAAAAGGTAACCAGTTAAATGCTCTGCCTGATGACAATGCTGAAATCTTTGTAAACTTCTTTGCATCATTCAAAGGCCAAAAATGCTGACAGCACAAAATGAAAATTTTGTTTGAATTTAAATGGCCCCTGAACCTACAGGATCCTATCAGATTCTTTCAATGTAATGCCTGGGAAGCCACTGTCTGGCAGAAGCTCAGGTCATTTCTACAACCCTTCCTTGTCCCCCTGCAATAAAAAAATCTTTTCTTCCCAGCTGATATTTCACACTTTGTAATTTGGCTACTAAATGGGAAAAGTCTCCAAAATGTTGCAAACTAAAGTGAAGAGTTTGAGCATGTTCTATGAAAACTAAAATGCATACATGCATAAATGTTTTCACTTTTTCTCCTCAGGATTTGCTCCTATTAACCCTTGCACATATAAGAAAACAATTTTTTTAAGAAATGTATATGCTAAGTACCTCTTCAGAAAAAATGTATTTCATGTTACATAAACACACACTTATTGTGGTACTTATGAATCAAAATATTATTTCAAAATGTAAAAGCTAGTGACATGACTAAACATTTAAACTAGATAGATTTAAAAACAACAACAACAAAAAAGCTCAGGTAAGTGCATGGATGCATTAGCATTAAAGCTGTTCATAATTTTGGTAAATGCAAAAGAATACTAACAAGAGAGTTAAAACTATCAATAAATAATAATGAAGTACATTTTCCCTACAGGAATATAATAACAATAAACATTAGAATTATGGGGTTTTTTTCTGCAAGTCAGTGTAACTGCTTCATCACTTTGAGTTAGTGATTCAGTGACAAATAAATCCTTTGAAATTCTTCTGTATGCTTCTTATATTTTAGGTCCATGCCTTCCATATATAGAAAAACTATTTTAACATTCATTGAAATAAATGTTTCTGGAAAAGAAATGTAAAAACAAATGCAGAACTAATTTGCAGGATTAGCAAATTAACATCCCATCTAAGTATTTAGTGTAGAAATAAGATATTAAGCAGAGACAAATTGAAACACTTTGTGTACAAAGATCCTAAATTTAGAGTGTAAGTTTGGGGCATGAGAGTGAGTAATTCTCTGGATTTGGGAATAACATTCATTTTCTCCTATGAAATATTTGTTTTAACATTTTGACAGCCATGTCAGAAGGTAAAGGCAGAATGGGTATAAAATGTAGTCCAAGGCTTTCATAGGTTTAGTAAAGATTCAATTTTTTTTGGCAATAGAAGAAGATAATTACTCTTGCCTGTTTTTAAAATAACAATTCCTTCAATGTAGGTTTTTCAAAACTATTGAGAAAGCAAATCAACATTAAAAAATCAAAACTAAGTGTAAGTCAGCTTGTTTTATTTTTTCCTTTCATGTTTAATTTTTTTCCAATTATTTTTTACATTTCATCCAAATGGCTATACTTATTTTCTGTGTATGTTTGAGACCTCCCTCATTCAGTTGTCCATGTGATGAACAAGGCATGCTGAACTAGAGAAACAGATACACATTATAAATAGTAAATTATTGCATGTATTCTGCTATAAGATGATAGTTATTTGGTATACAAAATACTTAATTTTTGACAACTTTCTCTACCATTGCACTTTGTTTGAAAACCTGGCAGGAGATATGCACTCATCTGAAAAGCCAAAGTAGACAGCTTGCAAAAAACAAGGTGACATTCTACATAAGCTTTTAGTGAATAAATTATACAGAGGAAAGCAAACCCCAAAAGTTCCTGGGTTTTAAGCAATATAAAACCTTTGTTTAATTAATTGTTTATGACAAATAGCCCTTTTCCTTTTTTTCCTCACAGTTTGCCACAGACAGATGTCTTTAGTCTGCACAGTGCAGCATGCACTCTCTAAAGAAAACAGACAGAAATAGAGAGAAGGCTTGACAGCAAATGTTCTGTTCACACCTTCACAATAAAAAAGCAAATGAACTTCTAGGTTTTCTAAAAACTTTTTGTTTTCTTTCAGAAAAGAAAAGCTGAAAGGCTGCATTCTGTGGTACTGACAACATTAACAGGTTGGTTTTTCTCAGGTCAATAGCAATTCCATTAATTTGCACAGCAACCAATCTGCAGAAGCCAGCAACACTGACTGGCCATTAAATATCATTTTGGGCATGCTCATAATGTGCTTCCAAGCTCAGACACAAACACCATTCACACAAGAGTTTCTGGGCCATTTTTGATGTAGAAGATAATTTAACAGGATATGTCACCTGCAGAAGGTGACATATCCTGTTAAATAATATTATATCTAACTATAACTGGATATGGACATAGATGAAAGTCAGGATATTTATAACATATATAGCTGGAACATTTTCCATGGATTACAGAGAGAACATCGTAGGCTGGAGGAGAGGAGAGATTGAGTGAGAGATGGGAAAAAGCAGAATAGGACACTTTCTCTTCAGTCATTCTTTGTCATTTTCTCTTTTTTATTAACTTGTCCAGTCTTCCTTTGATTCTATGCAAACTCTCAGTCCTTGTAGAATAGGTTTTTCTTGTTTGCTGCTACTTACTTGTCATCTCTTTGACATTTTTTAAGGGCTTATAAACAATTTGGCTGTTTGTTCAGGAATACATTTACCCTTTCATAACTTCAGTGATAAAAGAGATAAGCTGTACAATGTGGAGTGTTTTGAAATTAAAAATACTCTGATTTGAGGTCATGCTGTTATCAGACTTTATTTTCAATTGTCTTTTCTAAGGCTTACTCTTGCCTTGGCCAAAAATACCCAGGGACAACATTTGTCCTAAAGGAAGGTTTTCTTTAATTCCTTAGGTCGCATTGTGATCTAAGACGTTGTCCTTTTTTAACAGATTCAGTCTGAAATCATAAAAAGTTGGAGACAGACAACATACTTGAGCAAATACAAAACTGTCTTCAACCCAGAAAGTGCTAACACTTTCCTCCCTTTATAATCACAGAATCATAGAATGGTTTGGGTTGGAAAGGACCTCCAAGACCATCTAGTTCCAACTCCTCTGCCATGGAGAAGGTAGTAGACCAGGTTCTAATAGACCAGGCTGTTCAAACCCCCACCCAACCTGGCCTTAAACATTTTCAGGGATTCACAGCTGCTCTGTGAAAACCTGTTCCTGTGCCTCACCACCCGCACAGCAAGGATTTTTTTTCTAATGTCTAATCTAAATGTATACTTTTGTGATTTTAACCCAATCCCCCTAGTCCTGTCAATACACACTCTTGTACATAGTGTCTTTCCATCTTTCTTGTAGACTCCTGTCAGGTATAGGAAGGTCACAGTTCTCGTGACACATTGAATATTGCCAAGCTCTAAGGACACTGCTAATTGAAAAAAAAAAAAAAAAAAAAAAAAACCAAAAAAAAAAAAAAAAAAAAAAAAACCAAAAAAAAAAAAAAAAAAAAAAAAACAAAAGACACACAAACAAACAAACAAACAAAAACAACAAACAAACATTCTTCTTATTTAACTTAAATTAGACTATTTAAAATTATTGAAAAGTAGGCACTTCTGGCTGTAATAGCATTGCCACGAAATTAGAACACAAATTCCAAACCTTTTGAAAATCAAAATAAATTTTTGAAAGACTTAAGTACAAAATACATTTAAGAAAGCAAAAAAAATGGAAAATTATTTTAAAATTAATGGTGGCAGACTAGCAGAGAAAACAGTGAAAGCATCAAAGAAATAAAGTTCAATAAAGACAGATATGAATGCCATAAACATAGGAAGTATAGCTAAAATAAGGAACTGATCAGGTAGAACCTCAGGGTCACCCATTCTGCCTCCATTTTGATTTTACAGCACAGGAACGATTGCATTAAAGTTTTCTTCATTACAAGGACAAAAATATGAGCTCACAGGAGAATAGATCAGGTTAAATTCCAAGGCATTGTTCTTAATAGGCTATAGGATTGATAGAGAAGACATGCTCTATCTCATAAAATTTGTCTTGCAATATTTATTGACTGTGGAGAAAAATTTACCCCTACACATAGTAAAAGCTATGATAGTTCAAGCATGCTCTTTGGAATAGTAAAAGGCTACGAAAACAGGTAGTACACAGGCTAGATCATTGATCTAGCTTTACTTGGGATTACCATTATTGCATTGCTAAATCAGTAAAACCCAAACCTAAACTAAAAAAAAAAAAAAAAAAATCAAACTGTATAACTAAGTTGTTTTATATCTGAACAATATATGGCAGAATGATGCATCATCATATTTGTTTTCAAAATATACTCAAAGGTTATTGCAAAATATCCCTTTTCCCTTACAGGAGTTTCTCATGAAATTGCCAAAGATTGAGTTCAAGTTTTTTTATTTTTTTTCAAGTACTGTCTTATTATTAAAAAAAAAAAAAATTACAAACAATGAAAAATACAAATTAATCTTTTTAAAAGATAAAAATAGGCTGGAAGAAAGAAAGATTTGGAGGGCAATTTATTTTCTCATTGCTCTAAAATATTCTGTGGCGAAGCAGATAGAAATCAATTTTCTGAAAATGTTACAACAGCTAATGAAAAGTGATGCAAAATATTGTACTTGTACTTTTTTTTCGCCTGAGAATTGATATGAACCATTTGGCAGGTGTTGGTAGATAACAACAAATTGTTAAGCTAATAAAAGCATTAGAGGAATATCTCTCCCAGTAGAATAAAGGACTGCAAAAAATCCATATTAAAATATTTGGTCACTGTAAAATCTTAGTCCGTTTTTTGAATTTAAAATAAACCAAACAAAAAAGCACAACCTAAATACATTTCTAATTCCTTTTGCTCTGAAAATGTCAAAGCAAAATTGACATTCTGACTTTTTCTTCAAAAAGTAGACAATTTTGATAGAGTGGCTTTTTTTTAAACAAGGAGCATGATGCATTCTATATGCATTCATGAATAGCTTTAACTGACAAAGTCTGATTTTATTTTTCTATGAAAAAAAGGGAAAAAGAAAACACTCCATCTTGACTTGTGTTTGAGATTTCCGTTCCTGCTTATTTAAAGACTTTTGCTATTTCCATCTGTATGTGAATTACCTAGTTATACAGACTAATATTGTATGTGTATATATATATAAAGGTCTAAGGATTCACAATGTAAGTATCCACTGCAGTTCACTGTGTCTGATTGCTAATGTCCTCCCATTTGTGAGAAGTCAAAGAATGTGATTAACAAATAACAAGCAAGCACATCAATAAAGCACATCAAGAATATAAGGGATCAACCTGAAAATGACAGCAAAGCTATAATTCAGAACATTATTTCCATCCTAATATTTGAAAAACAATAAAGGAGCAAGATTTATTATTTCCAGTCAGAATCAAAGGGAAACAAAAAGTGCAAAATTTTAAAGGAATACCAGCAAGAGTATTACAATGAATGGATTCTAGCTACTTGATATATCTTCAGCTAACAGGTAAGTTGAGACAACTAGGTTGAACTGGCTTTGCTGAAACTTAAAAACCTCATAAAAGTAACACAAGATGAGATGTGCACACAGGCATATTTTTTTCTTTTCTTGCTTGTTTGTTTCATCTGTTATGAGCCCTTGGGGTGCATAAATAATACTTTGTTTGAAGAAGTTTATGTTTGAAATCACTTTAATCATTCTCTGTCACAGGGCCCCATAGGAAAAAATGTCTCTCAGGTTTACAGGGTAAACAGGAGATTAGAGTCCTAATATTCAGTCTGAGGGGTAAAATCATGTAGTTTCTCCTTAATGAAAAGTTACCAAAACTATCTCTAGTAAACTATATTGTACAGAGTATAATAAAGCACCTAAACTAGAAGCAGTCAGAAATAGGGTAAAAAAAAAAAGCTGAAGTGAACGCAATGATATGAAAAATGTCTTCCTCCATAAGCAGCTACATTTACTGATTAAATAAAACAATACTCAACACAGGACATGAGAATAATAAAATAGGCACAAAGCAATTTCATTGCAGATTTAGGTAATGCTGAAGAATGATATTTGGGACAGCAGTCATTTTGTTGATCACCTAATTACAAAAACAATATTGCATGTGATACCACCACAAGATTTATTTTTTTTAAAGCCACTAGAAAGAAACAAGACAATTTTGGGAACAGAATACATAAGCACCCACACATTAAATAGATTTAGGTTCCACTATATCAAACATGAAAACTTGTCTAAATATCTGAACTTCAAAATTTAGTTTGGCTTGGGAAAACAGACAACTGTATCCTGGACTACATCAAAATAATTGTGATCAGCAGGTCAAGGGAGATTCTGGCTTTGGTGAAATCCCGTCAGAGAACTGCATCAAGCTCTGAGGCTCCCAGCACAGGAAATATGTGGACCTATTGGAGTGGGCTCAGAGAAGAGCCACAAAAAGTATCCAAAGACTGTAGCACCTGTACTAGGAAGACAGGCTGAGGGAACTGCGGTTGTTCAGCCTGGAGAGGAGCTCCAGGGAACCTCACTGCAGCCTGACAGTACCTAAATGGGGCCTACAAGAGGCCCAGAGTGGGACGTGTGGTGACAACACAGCAGGGAATGGCTTCAAACTGAAAGTAGATTTAGATTAATTATAATGAAAAATTTATTTTCTGTGAGGGTGGTGAGGCAGTGGAACTGGAAGCTCTTTTGGCTGGCTAAAAACAGCAAATCACTATTCTCACAGGGGTGGGTAAGCCTATATCAGGGTTTTAGTTTACTTAAGTTCAACAGAGTATAAATAGGAATGGGATATGGTGCAGCAATTTCTGCAGTCTGCTCTAAAAATCCATCCTTTCCTATAGGACACAAGGAAAAAATTAAAAGGAAAAAATTAAAGAAAAAATGCTCTAAGTAATATAGCAAAGTATCTCATAATTTTTTTAAATTGTGAACCACTGCATTTGGATTATCTAACTTTTCTGGTGTAGAAAACAGAGGAGCTGTAAAAAAATTAAAATGTATGTCAAAAACCATTGATGTCTGATTTTCACAGAACAAATAATGACAAAATGTGCATGCATTTTTCAGAACTATCTCACTAGACACTGAATCAGGTAGGTGGAAATTAAATAGAAGTGAGAGGATTTCAATAATATAAAGAGAAAAATGAAGAAGAAATGCACATCCCTGTAAGCTCCAGGGAGAGCCCTCCAGTATCAAAGAATTGTTGCAAGCTGTGGTGGCTTGATCCTGGCTGCACACTAGGTGCCCATCAAAGCCACTCTATCACTTCTCAGCTAAACAGGGGAAAGAAAATATAGCAAAAAGCTTGTGGCTTGAGATAAGAGCTGGGAGATCACTCAGGAATTATTGTCACAGCCAAAAGATGCTTGGTTTTATGTTTTATTGTCAGTCAAATGAGACTTGGATAATGAGAATAAGAAAAAACATGAAAACAGATTTCCCCCCCCCTTCCCCTCCCCTCCCCTCCCCTCCCTTCCCCTCCCCTCCCCTCTCCTTTCTTCTTTTCTTTACCTTTCTTTTCTTATTTTCTTCTTCTCTTTACCTTTCTTTTCTTCATCTTTCTTTTCTTCTTTTATTTTTTCTCTTTTTCTCTTTTTTCTCTTTCTTTTCCCAAATATGAGTATTCTATGTTTGCAAATACAAAAAGAGCTGTTTGTATTAAGGTTTTCTCTGAAGATGGCAAATTGTAATAAGAATCTAAAGATTTACGTGAGAACTGTTATTTGTCTTAGATTATTAAAATTCTGCAGGTACAGAAATGAAAATTATAGTTCATTTTCTCTGATAAGATGAAGAAATTAAACTGTTTTTTTTTCTTGCCTAGTGACTAAAAGAAAGAAAAAGATTGTTGCTCCTTTAGTCTAACTAATTTTTTTATTCTATCTTCAAGTAAATCAAAACTTTGTAGAGGCATGTGTGTGTCTAATTATTTGGTTGAATAATAGAAAAGTCTGTGTAGTGTAAGAACTGAATCATTGGGTTTTTTTTTTTCAATTTAAAAAAAAAAAGGGGGAAAGGAATGTCACTTTCATATAAGCATTGTTAAAACTGTACAATGACAAAATTTTACATATCCTGATTGAGATCTCCTTCATAAAGGTAGATGATAGGAATTTCATGGTAGTATTGTCATAGAAAAAATACCAAATGGTAAAGGAGATAAAAATGTTTGACATGATACAGCATTTTTTTTCTCTCTGCAAGTCTATTTTTAACCTAAATCAGAAGTACTCTTTACAAATGGCATTGAAGTACTTCATTAGAATCAAATAAATTTCTCTTAAATATGTACCGCTAAGATTGAACTTCAAATATAAATGACTCTAGGAAAAGTTTGAATGTTAGGTACTATTCTTATTTCATTCAGAATCACCAGCAAGTATAACCCAGTGTGCTTTAGGATTTGAAACATTTGTTCCACTTTTCAGGAAGGAAATATTTTTGTTTGCCAGCCTGGACACTCCTTCTTCCTGAGCTTTGTCTTTCAATATTTTTCCACATATCAACATAAACAATAATTAATGTCCTTAGCACACAATTAAATCATTAATTTGCCCTCCTGAGTTTAGATCATCTATATTTCTTCTATGACAAAGTTATTTGCATGTTTGAAATCCTCTTCGTTTTGGGTCAGTATTTAAGTATCTTGAATATCTCAGATTACAAATGAGCAGCATACTCCATGCCCCCTTTCTCCATATATTGTGGGTAGAATTAAAAGCATCTTTCTGTCTTTGATCAACAATTCCAGACCCTTGAAACAAAATCAGTTTTTCTTTTTGTACTGCAAATTCTATATCAACATTAAGGATTTTAATTTGCCATGGTTGTGATTCCCAAAACACAAGCTGAAGCTTTATTTTGGAAAAAATTATATTAAAATCTACAGTATGTGTCTTTTTAATCTGTCTTCTACTGAACATAATTCCTGAAAGGGTTTACATATTTGGCTTAGTTTTGTTGGGTTTTGTTTATTTTTTGCCTTTAAATAGAGGTTATTTAGAGTGCCAAGCTGAGGAACAAATCAGGCCAATAAGAAAAGCAGCACTCCTTTTTCCCTCCATTTCCTTTGTTCCCTTTTCCCTTTTCTCTTCCTTTTTCTCTTTTCCCCTTTTTCCCTCTTCCCCCTCTCCTTTCCCTTTTCCATTTTTCCTTTTTTTCCTTTTCTTCTTTCTCGTAACATCTACAAGTTTGTTCAGTTCTAAGTCATATCACACTACTGTCAGCACAGTTTATTCATTCCTTAATGAGTGTTTGAGGGTGAAGTGTACTTTTCAATTTTGAAAGAAATATAAAATATATGATTTTGAATTGTTCGCTTGTATTATTGCAACTAATCTTAAAAAATTAGGACCATTTCATTCCTTTTCCTTTAGCTGCCTTCATTATTTTTCTTGATACCTTTTCTCAGTCTTCCAGCTGTGCTGATGAGAATTTCCTACTTTTATGCAAATGCATACCCTTTATATCATAAAAACTGATGAAGATAAGACCACAACTTAAAGAAAACATGAAAACTATTCTTTGAAAAAAGGTTGTTTCTAGCTTTACATAATTAAGTTCCTACTCTCAGGAGAAGGTAAAAAACCTCCTGAGATAACCTGCATGGTGTTTGATTACAAAAATGCAAAAACAGACAAAAAGCTGTGAATGTGCTATGGTAAAATAAATATATTAAGAGTAATTTCTGTATAACAAATGCTGAACTAACAAGAAGAGTTGTTGCATCTCATAACTAACCTCACTACTCCCTTATTTCTATTTTACTGTCTAATTATTTTGCTTTCCCATAACCAAGTCAGTAATGCGACCTAGGCAGTCACACAAGGATGAGTTGAACTCTCTGACTTTCACTCAAAATCTCTGTACAGCACTGTCTTGGAAAAGTGGACTGCAAATACAACACAGTCAGAAAGACCTGTTGTTCTTACTAGGTTTAAATCACCAGCTGAAGTGATGGAAAGTCACTGCACTGCATCTGGTCTTCCCTAAATGTGACAATATGACATTCTCTTCTGTCATCAATCTGACCCAACCCAGTGGGGGCCTGGTGAGACTCAACATTAGGCTGCAAAGTGGAAGGCAGAAGGTAAAAGCATGTCTATGGCACTGTTCTGGATTTTTCTCACAACCTGCTGTCCTGATTCTATGCAATAGTCTCGAATGTGCATTTTGAGATGATAGTGAGACATACTGTATTGATGGCAACATTTGGAGAAGCATCCTTGCCCATATTGAGCAAGAGCAAGATTTTGAGATCCTTCTACTCTAAAAAATTGCAAACATTGTCATCATAATTGTCATCATCTTGGTTTTCAGAAGAAGAAGAAATATTTTTGGTCTCCTGCTGCTGCAAAACCAGAGAGTGGGTCACAATGTTAATACCACCATCTTGACAAGTGCCGGGATACTGACTTGTAAACACATTTGTACTGTGCTGCCCATGTTTTTGAAGAAAGAAAAGAATGGGCGGGGTCATTTTTTTATTTTCATCATCTTCGGTGCTACTCATTACAGTCTCTAGTTGATTCATTGCCATTTCTGCCATGTGGCTGAATTGTTCAACCTTGGATTTGTTTTATTCAGTAGATATTTCATTGCTGCTGCCTAGGCTGTGGGACTGGAATGCTTGCCTTGAAGTCCATTTTATCCATTACATATACAACAATGCAACATTAAAATTTTGAATACATAAAAACTAATCATTGATGTTGACAAAGGATCATTGAATGTGTACCTCAGCCCAGTATGCAATTTTAAATTCTATTTCATTTTAATTATGTATGAAATTACAATGAAATGAAACAGATGAAACAAGCATATAGGGGCATTACTTACATGCTGTTTTGGTACTTGTTTTTTATATTTGCAGTGGATGATTAAATCATAATAACTTGAAATTTATTTTACACTGATGTCACATTCTTGGTTGTTACATAGTCTTCTTTTGCATACAGCTGCTCTGAGCTACTGGATAATAAGAGAAAATTTTCTAGCTTCACCAAATTATTTCTTCTGCTTAGATATACAGTTGAAATCTTTCTGTGAAAATCAGAACCTCAACTGGGAATGAAGAATAAAAGCTTTTGTAAAGGCAGACACTGCTTTAAATATTAGGCTTCTGGAAGCAGCCCAACAATAAATTTTCATATTATTAATTTCTTAGTCAAATCAATCCGTGTGACATGTACATGTTGGAAAAAAATTACATTCATATCGCTTCCTGCATGTGCATGCATTCCCTAATGACCAAATAAATACAGAAGGATGGATTCACCTGTGAAAACTTCCGACCGTACTGTTTCCTTGGAACCTTTGCCAGCAAAACTCTGAAGGAGAGCAGATGACAAGTGACTTTTTGTTTAATGCACCTAACCTTATAAATGTATGCTTTGAGATACCAGAATGCAGAATCTGAATTTTTTTGCCTTTCTTTCCTCTTGACATAGAAATATATCTGGTAAAACCTCTTTAAGGAAAAGAATTCAAGTTCCCCCATTCCAATATGAATTTTGTAATTTTGCTTCCAAATAAAACATTTTATTATCTGGATTTGTTGTTGCTGCTGTTTTATACCTAGCACAATCTATAGTCTTCACATAGGCTGAAATTATAAAATATCTTTTCTGAATTAAAAAGAGCATGAAGTCCTCTCAAAACTAAAGCAAAAACTACATATATAGGTACCACTAATCAATCTGGATTTAAATAGTGTAGCAATTCTATGAATAATTTTATTTATGAAATTAAAAATATGTATCTTCTCATCTTTACCAGTCTTTCTCCCACAAACAGTTATGTTTGTGGGGAAAATATATTGTGAGCTACTTCTGTGTGCTGATTTGCTTTCTTACCAGAGTTGCTATAAAATTGAAGAATTTTCAAGAAAGATTTATTCCTCCTGTAATTTGTTATTCAAATTCTATTTTTTTTTTTAATAAGCATAAAGGAACATTAATATTTTTTATTGTTCTGATGTTACTGTAGAGGGACCAAGGCAGATTTTCAAGCTGTCTGTAGTACTCCTAGGGAGTCCATTTACTAGCTTGGTATGCGCAGAAATTTTGTGGAACAGAAGAAACTCATCAATGCAAATGTGTGGATAGTTCACACTTGCTTAAATCGGAACAGGAAAGTAAAATGGAAAATGGCTTCTTTGGACTAAGATGGAACACAAAAATTTCACTATTCCATCTGTGATACACAAATTCCAAATAACTAAGCTTTTACACCCCTGCTGTGCTACTGTCTGCTGTTGGAAGTTCCTCTATCACTGCATGCACCATTAAAATTTCCATTAGCAAGTTCTCTACTGGAAATGATCAGGTGTTTTGGTCACAACATCCTTCTTTGGGGCTTTATCTGGGAATCTTTTGTTGCTGTTTCTGAATCACACTAATTTTACCAGTCTATAAGTGACAGCATCTAAATAACCACTCTATTACTTAATTGGTAGGAATAAAATAATTTCTGAAAGGCAATGTGTCCCTTACTAATAACTTTAGTAATCCAATGCTATGTAATTTTTAATAAAATATGTGGGAAACTGTTGACTGCTGTCTCTTGGTGCTTCAGCGTTGTCTTGTGCACAACAAACAGTACATTTGCCTTAAAGTGGGATACCT